GCGCGTCAGCGAGAAGAGTAAGGAAGATGGCGAAGGCGAAGCAAGGAGAGGGAGAAGGCCAGCAAAGACGCACTGGTGGCCGGGTGGGGCTGGATGCTGAACTGCTGCTCGTTGTTGGACATGGTTGGAGGGTGTGAAAGTGTGAGGTGTGTGGGTGGTGGTGGGGGAGAGCGAAGGTGCGCGGGGATGCGCAGTCGAGTTGCAGCCAAGGCTGAGCATCTAAGAGAATCGCCGCGCAGCGAGGCGGTGCGACATGCGGCATGCGGGCTCAGCGCGCGTGACGTCACGCCGCGCGCTCGCTCTCTCTCTCCCCCACACGGCGCCAAGTGCGCAGCGCTCCCACGCTCGGCCCCACCCGCACTACGCGGCTCAGGTGCATAGCGCATCCCTCCCTCCCAAGCACGGACACCAAGAGGGCGCGGGCGGAACAGCTTGGGAAAAAGAGAGACGTGGGCATTCAGAGAAAACACACTCGGCTCGAGCGGCGCCACGAGTAGGGATATTCGAGAGGTGCAGCGTAGCAGGGAGAAGAGGTGGGGGCATAGTCCGGCGCGAGAGGAGAGGTGGGTGAGGGTATCGGACACTCGGATCGGGAAGCGCAGGCTCGGACGAAAGGGCAAGTAGAGCTGAGCTACGCGTAGAAGACCCTACACGTACTTCTCCTTGATGACATCGGCGTACTTCTTCGTCACCTTGCCGCGCTCCAGCTTCTGCGCCGCTGGGGGGGGGGGGGGGGGGAGGGTCAGTCTCGGCCCGCCCCATCCGCGTCGCTCGACACAACTCACCAGTCATCGGCAGTTCCTCGGGCACGAGAATGCACAGTGTGAGTGCCTCCTGTCCCTTCAGGCCGCCCTTGCGGCCGACCTCGTTGAGCTGCTTCAGCACCTGGTTCGCCACCTTGTCGTCGTTGCACAGCTCCTCGAGCGAACGGCCGCCGCCGAGCGCCTTGAGCGCATCCTCGCGCGGAAAGACGATGGCCATGGGCTTGCTGGCGTTGGCGTCGGCGTGCACGCACATGTTCTGCACCAGGTCGCACGACTTGTACGTCGACTCGAGCTGTGGCGCAAGGGCATGTGTCAGTGTGTGTGGCTGCGAAAAGGGGAGCAGGGCCTCTCCCGTGTGGCGAGACGGGGCCGAGGTGGTGGATGTGGCTGCGGAGGAGAGGGATGCAGGCCCTTGCGCTGCCGCTCCAACGCGTCTGCCCCCACCTCGTCGCTCCTTGGGCCTGCATCTCTCCTCCGCGTCTACCGCCTCGTCGCACCTGCTGCCTCCACCCTCAGCGGCGATTTCGCACACAACACTTACCTTTTCGATGGCAATGTACTCGCCGCCGCTGAGCTTGACGAGGTTCTTCTTGCGGTCGATGACCGAGAGGGTGCCGTCCTTGTTCCACTGGCCCACGTCGCCCGTCATGAGCCAGCCGTCGGCATTGATGGCCTCGCGCGTCGTCTCCTCGCGCTTGAAGTAGCCCTCGGTGACGGCGGGCCCGCGGATGAGCACCTCGCCCTGCGGCGGGTCGTTGGTGGCAAAGTAGCCGGCGTCGGGCACGTCGACGAGCTTGATCTCGATGGCCGGGCTCGGCGCACCCACGGTGCTGTACGCGCAAAAGTCGGGCGTGCCAATCGTGCACATGCCGCAGCTCTCCGTCATGCCGTAGCCCTGCAGCAGCGTCACGAGGGCCATGTCGAGGAACTCCTGCGTCTCGCGCGAGATGGCCGCGCCGCCGCTGAGGGCAATGCGCAGGCGCCCGCCCGTCTGGGCGCGCACCTTGTTGAAGATGACCTCCGAGGCACTGCTGAGCAGCGGAATCGAGTTGCGCTTCCACGACAGGGCGCCCTTGAACGCCAGGCGCGCCACCGCCGGGCCGGCGTTGACCTTGGTGAGGATGCCCTTGCGGATCGTCTCCCACACCGCCGGCACGCCGACCATGACGCTCGGCTTGAAGGCCATCAGGTCGCCCTCGCAGTTCTTGACGCCCGCGGGCGTGAGCGTCTTGACGCCGCCGTAGCCCATCGTGACGCCGACGTACATGAGACTGCACTCGACGATGAACTCGAGAATGTGCGCCAGCGGCAGGTACGCCAGGAACGTGTCCGTGGGCCGCAGGTGCTGGCCCAGCAGCAGCTCCACGGCGCCCGTGGCGGCGACGAGGTTGCTGTGCTTCAGAATCACACCCTTGGGCTTGCCCGTCGAGCCCGACGTGTACATGATGCACGCCACATCGTCGGCCTTTGGCGGGTTGGCCTCGGCCTTGTTCGCGCGCCCGTCCGCCTTGAGCTCGTCGAGCGAGATGACCTTGGCGCCCTCGCGGCCCTCGAGCTTCTTGCGCAGCGTCTCGAGCTGCGCCTCCTCGGGCTTGCCGTTGTAGATGACGTAGCGCACCGTGGGCGTGTCGTCGAGCACGTCGCAGAGCGTCTTGAGCAGCTGCGGGTTGGTAAAGATGCCCACCACCTCGGGCTCGGCGAGCGAGTGCTGCAGGCCCTCGGGCCCCAGCGTGTCGTACGCCGTGCAAAAGGGAATGTTCTGCGCGAAACACGAGTGCGCCATCGACTGCCAGTCGAGCCTGCGCAAGCGGGAGCGTGAGCATCATGCTCGGCAGAGCGGCGCCCAGGCACGGCTACGCACGAGGTGCTGCCGTAGATGTTGAAGCGCTTCTCCGACGTCATGCCGAGGTTGCGCAGGCCGCTCGAAATCTCAACCACGAGCTCGTTGAACTGCTTGAACGTGAGGTACTGCAGGGCACAAGCGTGAGCAGAGGCGCCGCAGAGTAGGTGAGCAGCTGCGGCGCAGCGTGCGCGCGCAATTGCAAGAGACGCACCTTGTACTCGCTCAGCTCCTGCAGCTGCCACGTCTTGGTCTCTGGCGAGCAGGGACGGGATGTCAGCCGCTGCGAATAGAGAGACGGAACGGGCGCTGCTCGAACTGAACGGGCAACGTTGTACTGAGCAGCAGCGCGGCAGCCAGCGCACTGCGCAGGCCTGGAACCGGTCTCGAGCGCACTCGCCGTCTGCAGCGGCAGAGCGGCTTTCGCGAGCAGAAGCTCGAGATTCGGCGCTGCTGCGTCTCTGCTGGCAGGCCGACGTGGCCTCACGCTGCTTCGCACGTTGCGCGAGTCGCTGCCACAGCGGCTGCCAGCTAGCTCGCAGGCTCTCTTGCGGATGCACGAATGTCTGCCTCGCGTGCCTCGCCGGGTCCGCTCCCTGCATCTGCCGCAGCCGTCTCTGCATCTCTTGCTCCTCCACCGGCTCACACAACACTCGGCGCGCGCGAGGCACTCACCCTTGACCTCCTCGCCGTCGACCTTCTTTGTGATCTCCTTCTTTTCGGTGTGCGTCTTGATGACGTCGCGGTAGCCCATGCAGGGCTTGTTGGTGTACTCTGCGAGTGGATGAGGGCGGGTGGGGAGGGCGAAGGTCAGCTGCTGCACCCTCCTCGCTGCATCGTCGTGCACGCATGTGCCCCCTGTGGCCCACTCACTGCGCACGGCATACTGCAGCACATCGGCCATGGTGTTGATGTTGCCGTCGTCGCCCGTGGGGCGGTGGACGAGGCGGTCGGGGGAGCAGAAGGCGCGGCGCACGCGCGTCTCGCCCTTTGGCGGCGCATCGCCAATCTCGACGGAGGCAACGGTCGGCTTGCCGGGCATGGTGCGGGTGTGAGAGGATGGGGGTGTGGTGGTGGTGGAGAGCACGGAAGGCGGAGGGAGGCGAGAGAGTGGGGGAGATGCAGAGCCGGGTTGCGACGCTGAGGCGCTGAGTCGAGGCGAGGCGAGGCACACGCCCAAGGCACGCCAGCAGCAGCGGCGCGCGTGCGGAGGCGGAGCGAGTGGAGCAAGCAGGCCGTGCATCAGGGCACCGTCGATGCGCGAAAGACAGGCGACGTGCCTGCTCTCGGCGCCGCTCCTCGCCCGCCGCGCGCAAGCCAAGCACAGAACAGCAGCCACGGGCAAGCGCGGCACACGTCACCGCCTGCCGACGCTGCTCCGGCACCTCGAGAGAGGGGCGTGCGGATGTGCGGAGCTCCACGCTCCGCTCGCTGCTGCTGCACGCTGCGTCTGCGCTCTCGCTCTGGCTCCGTCCGCTGCCGTGCCCGCTCTCGAGTCTCGACTCGGCGGCCGAGAGCATGAGAGAGGTGGGCACGCGATGTGACAGCAGGCAGAATCTCGCCGCCGTCGTGCCGGGGTACCGCTCCTCGCTCGTTGCATCAGCAGCCGCGCAGCAGCAGCAGCGGGCGGCAGCGGAGAGCGAGAGGAGGCGAGACGCTTCGCAGCAGCCGCAGCAGCCGGAGAGCCGGAGACGCAGCAGTCCCTCCTCAACCACCTTGAGAAACGATCCGAGGGGTTGCTCCCAGCAGGAGCCGAGCCGCCACAGCACCCAGCACCAGCTCGGAGCAGCGCTTCCGTTTGCACCTCCTCTCTCGCGGCCCGATGCGAGTTGAGCCCCTTGCGCGGCTGTCACTGCCGTCGCTCGTGTGGGCACGGCTTGGCTTGCATGCGCATCTGCAGCCGCAGAACAAGAGGTGCCGGCGTGCGGCGGGGGGTGCGCCTGCGCCTGAGAGCGGCTGCCGCTGATGAGCTGCAGCTGAGACAGCATGCAGCAGCAGCCGCAGGGAAAGAGCCACTTAAGACTCGCTGCGTTGCCATGCCCTTCTCAGCGGCGCTTCCTTCCAACAGCGGCGCTCGGGGCCCCGCTCGACTCATGCCACTCTTCTCTCGCAGGGACGCGCGCGAAGCATAGCGCATCCGACTCGCCTGGCAGGGGCGCGCTCCGACGACTTTTACATGGCTCTGCTCTCTGAGCGGCTGCGCTGCCACGTTGGCTGCACGGCCCAGCCTTCATGCAACCCTGCGGGCTGCCGACTCTGAACGGAGCTCTCGACGCTCCACGCGCTCGCTGTCGGCAGCTCAAATGTCAGGTACGACGCTACCGAGCATGGCAGCCGGCAGCTATGCTTTCAACGCGTGCCCTGGAACACGTCGGCCGCCTTCCAGAGTCCGAGGCCGAGGCGGACCTGCGCAGCGGTGAAGCTGAGAGGGTCTCCGACGCAGCGGCTCGGCCTTGCACCAGCAGCAGAGAGAGGATGCCGTGCCTCTCTCTTCCCCCTTGCTGGGCCACGCGAAAAGCCTCAAGCAAGGGTCCGGACATGGCCAGAGGCTGAGGACTGGTGTCTGCTTCTTTTTGTCGAGCGCTCGAGCTACTCGAGAGTTCCGACGGGAGGGGACGTGGTGTTCTATTCCCTCCACGGGCACGAGCAGGCATGGCAGAGTGAGCCGCAAGAATCTCGGCCGCCAACGGAGACTCTCGAGCTCGACGGCACAGCTCCAGCAAGCTCAGAGAGCGCACAGCCCACAGGGCTTGATGCGCTGATATGCTCCTGCCGCGCGGGCGAGACAGGGTGAGGACGCGGCCGACGGAAGAATCGGGGCGAGCCATGGCTCGCCGACCATCGAAGACTGCGCGCTCGTTGCCAGCAGCTCGCAAACGTCGCGGAGGGGCTGAGTCAGCGTCTAGGCGGGGCAACAGAGGGTCCGAGTGTGCCGTTTCGACAGGCAGTGGGCGAAGCGAGCGGCTTTGTCGTCTGCCCATCGGTCTTAGAAGCGTGCGAAGAGGGCGTTGTCTACCGCCCGGTCGAGCGCGAGCGTCTCGAGCAGCCAAAGGTGAAGCACGCCATTGAAGTGTTGGCGACGAAGAACGCTGCAATCTTCAAGTCGAGCCGTGCATGCCGATCTTCCCGTCGCTCAGGCCCGACTCGGTGCGTCGGATGCTTGCGCAAGGGCATCGACGTGCGCGCCAACAGCGGCCTATTGGGCTTGCTGCCTCGCGCTCGTGATGCCGGGTCTCTGCTATGCCAAGCAGAACGATGGCCGCTCAGCGGCTCTTGAGGCCTTGCACCTCGCCTGCCTTGCTTGCCGCTCCGTCCTGCTTGCTCGGCCCGGCCGCCCGGCGCTTCCACTCGCGATCGCGCCGCATCAGCTCGGCGCTCGAGACGCGCTGCGCAGGCGCCAGATACGGCAGCGCTTGCGGCACGAGCAGGGCACGCGGCGTGCATGGACAGGACGACATTGCTTTGCCTTGCCTTGAGTGTGTGGGAGTGCAGAACGAGGGAGCGAGGCGAGGCAAAGGTGCGGCGAGGCGGCGGCGGCGCTTACGTAACGCCCAGCGCCCGCGCACGGCCCTGTTGCCCCATCGAGCGCCGGCGCGCCCCCTTTGCGGCATCTCCCATGCTGCTCCGGCGACAGGGGAGCGGCCGCTCGCCGGGCCCCAAACAGAGCAGGCTCACAAGGCTAAAAGAGGGTGCAGAAGTGGGGCGAGCGCTTGCTTTGCGACCACCACCTCCCACTCCTCAGCCTGCGCCTGCGAGTCGCAGCCCCCTCGGCCTCAGCTCGCCCCTCCACTTTCGTGCACGCAGCACGCCGCGCCGCGCGCATCTGCACCGCCGCGCCTGTGCGCCCTCGCCCGCCGCCGCGTCTTCTGCCCACCATGCGTCTCCTCGCCGTCGGCGCCAGCCTGCTCGTGTCTGCGTGCCTCAGCATGGCCGCGTCTGCATCGTACGACGTCTACACGAGCGGCTACGCTGCCGACATGTGAGTCCCCTGCCTCTCTGTCGTGCGCTGCTTCACGCTCTCTCTGCGCCCGCGACCGCTGTGCACAGCCCTGACGCTCGCTTCTCCACAGCAACCTGCTGCGCTTCACGCCGCCCTCGACGCTGCAACGCCGCGACACTCTCGCCGGCCAAACAGGTGCTGCGCCTTCCTGGCTCACCTTCCTCTCCACGCCCTCGGCCGGCTCCCGTCGCACGCTCCTCGTCACCGACGAGTCGGCTCCCGGCGGCGCCTATCTCCTCGACCGCCTCTCCTCGCCTCCCTCCTTTCGCGCCTCGAGCCGTGCACAGACCAAGGGCGACGGCAGCGTGGCTAGCGCTGTGTCTGGCTCGTGCGTCTACGTGGCCAACTACGACTCGGGCTCGCTCTCCGTCCTGCCTCTCTCCTACACGCACAAGTCGCCCGACAGTGGCGGTTCGCCTCGCCTCACTCCCAAGCTGCGCGACGCATCCGCCGTGCTCTCCTTTACGCGCAACGGCACCGGCCCAGTCAGCAATCGGCAAGACGGCAGCTACGCGCACGACGTCGTCGTCTCGCCCGACGGTGCCTACGTCTTTGTCTGTGATCTCGGCGCCGACGTCATCCGCGTCATCCGTCCCGCTTCCTCCGCCTGCAAGGATGCCGCACACGTCGCCGACATTCCACTCCGCGCCGGCTCGGGCCCGCGGCACCTCAAGTTCTTCGTCGACGCCGCCAAGGGCAAGACGTTTGCCTACCTCTCCAGCGAGTTTGCCAACACCATCACGTCCTTTCTCTATGCTCCCACGGCCTCGTCCGACGAGGTGCTGCAGCAGATCGGCGAGCCGAGCTTCTCCTCGCCGCCGGCGCTGCCGCTGGGCGGCAACAAGGCCGACGGCCCGAAGCGCACCCTCGCAGAGGTGCAAGTCGCGCCGAACGGACGCTTTGTGTTTGCGTCGAACCGCGGCGACTCGCAAGAGGACAGCATCTCGGTGCTGACGCGCGGCGACAATGGCCGTGCAAGCTGGACATACTGGTACCGCAGCGGCGGCCTGAATCCTCGGCACGTGAGTTGGCCGCTCTCCTTCCTTTCCTCTCTCCTCACGGCAGCTGACATCTGCCTTGTCCCCCACAGTTCGATGTCTCGCCGGACGGCCAGTACCTCTCGGTCGCGAACCAGGACTCGGGCAACGTCGTCGTTCTGCGCGTCAGCGACAAGGATGGCAGCCTGGACAAGGTGGCCACGCTCGGTGGACTGCCAAAGGTGGCGTTTGCCGGCTTCGCTCCGGCGGACAAGTGATTCGAGGCGATCGAGGCGCCTGCGAGCTGGCCTCGCTCATTCGCCACGGTCCGTTTCTTCTTTCGCCCTCGCCTACACTAGCCGTGCGCCTTCGACCAGTCGCTTTTCTTCTCTCGCTCACGGCATCGAGGTCACCGGACACATCTCATACCCCTTCTTCATCGTCCACATCACTCCACAAAGACGTGGCGAGCACTTTCGAGCTCATAGTGTTCCCTCTCGTCGTAGGGGGAGGGAATCGATAGCGGCAGGCCGGACGCACGACGCACTCTGTCGTGCCTCTTCAGCCTTCCGCGGTCGACTCGCTTCCTTGCGACGGGCGCGCGCACTTCTAGCTCCTCGCTGCTGTCATCATCGTCTTCGTCGGCTTGGCGTCGATGGCCTCCCACCTTCTTCACTCGAGCCGTCGTCGTCCATCAATGCCACCTCATCGCTCTTCGATTCTTCAGCCGCCGAGGACGTGGCAGTCCCTCAAGCTGCTCCTTCAGCCCCTTTCGCTAGTTGAGTAGGAGTACCGTCTTGCAAGACCCGACGTGCGGCGCACTCTCGCCGCGCCATCTGTGCTTGCAGGGCGGTCTTCTCATCGAGCGAGAGAGGCGAGGGGATGCAGCTGGGTCACGCCAGTCTTCTGCGGCTTCGGATCGAGGCGCTTTTCTTCATTCTTCATCGCCTCGCGCCTGCGCCTACTCCTTCCGTCTTCGACTCGACGCAAGGGCTCGGAAGACGTCGTCAGCGGCTTCAAGCTGCTGTCCATCTCCTCATCGCACGCGACTGCTACTTTCTCCGGAGGACGAGAGGTGCGGCAACCTTCGCCGTGCTTCTTACTCCTCCGGGCCGGTTGCAGCGTTGTGCGAGGCTGGGAGGCACGTCTAGCTAGGGGCCCGCCTGGCGACGTCTTACGGCTTCGAACCTTTCACGAGCGCTTCTCTACGGTGCCGTCCTCTCGTCCGCCTACTCTCTTGAAGACGTCGCTCTTGGTGCCGCGACAAGCTCCTTCTCGTCGGCAACGCTGTATGATCGCAGAGGCCAGAAGACCAGATGCGCGGCAGCGACTTGCCGTGCCTCTTCCGGTCCTACGCCTTCATCTTGCGATGCAAACCGAGTATGAGTCTGTCGTCCACCTCGGCGTCCCCGGCGCGTTTGCGAGGATCACCTCGTCGGCCTCGGCCCTCCTTCACGCCGCTGCACTCCCTCCGCCTCATCTAGCCACGCCGCTCGCCACGAGCGACCTCGAGCTGTTGTCTTGCGCTTGGTCGCACCTGTTCGCCAGCCTCTCGAAAGCTTGGACACGCGGCGCAAGTCCGCCGTGCTCTTCAATCTCTCGACAGCTTTGCCTGCACGTGCGGCAGAAGCGCGGGCGGTTCCAGCCCATCTTCGCTCGTTTGGTGTCGCTCGACTTCTCTTGCTTCGACGTCGCGCATCTCAAGACGGACTCGAGCTCGAGTCGTGTCATGCATCGCCTCTCGACGCAGCGATGCCAGAAGCAAGCAATGCCGGGCGTGCGACGCCCGCTGTTCTTGCTTCTGGCGTCTCTTGTGCCGGCTTGCGATGGCTGATGCGATGCAGAGTCGCCGTCACTTGCTGAGCGTCCGACGGCGTCGAGCGCGAGCGGGAGCAAGAAGTCGACCATCTCTCTTCGTCGTCGCGCGCTTTGCCATGCCACAAGCGACGTCGAGCTCGGCCCTCGTCATCACCAGCAGCATGTCGTCGACTGAAAGGCGAGACACATGGGCGTGTCACACCCGCTTGTCTCCCGTTCTCGTCGAGGATGTGTGCTTGGCGATGGCTCTGGCAGCGCAAGCTCGCCTTCACCTGCGGCTGAGCGCCGGACTGACTCGAGCAACAACGCGTCGCCGACATCCTTCGCCTTCACTGCTCGTCGCCCGTCGATCTTCGGCCTATCTCGAATACGCTGCAGCAACGTCGAGCTCGTGTACTTGAGGTGTGGTGCTCGAAGGCATGATCCACGGGCGTGCTACGCCCGTGCATCATCCTTCCAGCGCCACGCTCGTTGTTACGTGCGCGATCGCCCAGCTGCAAGCTGCTCGCTGTGCGCCTGACAATTGCTCTCGTCGGCACCGCGTCACGGTCTGTACACGCCATCTCGCCGTTCGCGCCTGTCTGCCTTCACGGCCTCGCGCTCGGAGATACACGGGAAACACATCGAGCTAGCCCGATGCCATTGCGCATGCCGCTGTCGCTTGCGTTGACAGGCATCGTCCACTGGCGTATCACCGAGCATCCTTGCCTCGTCGGCGCCAAGTCACCTTCCTCGTGCTCGCCCTCGGTCATGCGGCGTCTAGCTGGAGCTTGCACCAGCGCCCCAGGCTCGCAGCCGCTGGAAGTGAGAAGCGGGCGTTGCCACGCCCGCCTTCCTACCCTTCCTCGATTGCGTTCCTGCCGCGCCGGGTGTCTGAGCGCAAGCTCGATGCCGCTCGTCTTCGGTCCGACAGCAAGCCCTCGCACACTCGCGCGCTCAAGGACGCGGCACGGCGACTGCGAGCAAGCGATGAGCCAGACCTTACGTTCGAGGGCCGGAGCACGGACGACTGCGGCGTCCGTTTTTCGACCTTCGAGCGCAAGTCAGGCTTCACGCGCGCCTCATTCGGCATCGTAGCTCGACGACTCTCAACTGCGGCGAGACTCGCCGGCCTCTCCTCTTCGCACACTCAGCAGCGCGGCAGTCGTCGGCACGGTCTGGGGTGGCATGATGACGCGCGGAAACCGTATAGATACCGTCGAAGGCCGAGAGGACGAGCAATATCGTCGCTCGTCGTCCTGCCTTCGACATCATCTTCGGTCCACGCCCCGCATTCTGCCGCTTTAGCTCGAGATCGCACGTCTGGTGACCGCGTCAAGCCCTTCGGCACCGGCTGCAGAGCTAAGCCAGTCGACATGAGGTGAGGGCAGAAGCGTGGGCGATATCACGCTCGTGCCTCGGCCCTCACCCGTCTGCGACGGCTCTTGCCCTGCATCCGTGCCGATTGTGCAACTTCACCTGCCCGTGCAACGGCCTCTTCGCCTTCCTTCGCCGCTCAACGTCACCTCCGTTCCGCCTCTCTTCTCCAACCGGCGCTCAAATTCGTCGAAGGCGCTCCTCGCTCTCTTCTCGATGCGTGCGAAGCTCCGTCGATGTTGTGTGTCCTTGGGCGTGCCACGCCTTTGGACAGCAAGCATCGACGTGAGTCCAGTTTGCATCGGAAGTGGAGTAGGGTTGCCTCCGACTCCGCCAGCGCCACCTCGCGATACCCGGACTCCTCCACTCGCGCAAGTCACACGCCACCGGCACTTCTTTTCCACGACTGAGGCGGAGAGCCGCAACGTCCGCCGCGCGGTGCTTTGCGCTTCTTTCCCGAGCGCTCGTCGGCCGCACTTCCTCCGAGGTGGTACTCAGTGATCATCATCCGTCGACGATGCATCTGCGAGAGCCCACAGCCAAAGTCTTTGGCTCGCTGGCTCTGCAGCTGCCTCGTCGGCGCGCTTTATGAACTCTGTTGCACCGTCTCGCAGGCTTGCTTGCCGATGAACACTCGGAAGCAGGAGCACGGCGCACCGGGCGACGGCCGCCATGCTTCGTCTCTCGGCATCGACGGTCCGCACGCGAACGGCGCTCGCGTGTCTCGCCTCTCCCTCACCGAGCAATCTTCTTTGCGCCGCTCCGGACTGCGGCAGCAGCATTCTTTCTCGTTTCGCTCTTCCGCTGCAGCGCCGGCGGCTAACGAGCTTTGGCTGGCGACGCTGCTGCGGACGATGCGCTGCGACGATGATAGGTGCTGGCTGCGGGGCCAGAGCGGTGCGAAGATGAGGCTCGGTTGTGGAGGTGCAGCACCGCGAGGCGGCCGCAATGCGATGTCCTTCTTGCCTCACACCCGCTCGAGTGATATAGTCAGGCCCATGACAGGCCCTCAGCTGAACGCGGGCGCATGTGTGATGTCATTTTGAGTGCGACAAGTAGAGTTGGAGGAGGAGAAGAGAGAGGGGAGAAGGGGAGGGAGAGGAGCGAGGGGGAGATAAGCGCGGCCTGACAGGCGCCTCAGAGCTCCTCGTGTCTCTTCTTGCCCGCCTCGTGCAGGCGCTCCATGTACTCCTGCGACATCTTGCGAAAGCTAGCGAGCACGTTCTTCTTGCGCGTCAGCTCGTCGACCTTCGTTGCGGCCAGGTGCGCCACGCCCTCTGCGTGCTTGGCCAGGAGCGCCTCGAGGCGTTTCGTCTCCTTTTCGACGTACTCTGGCGTCTCTAGGAGCTTGTCCATGACGCGCACATAGTACTTTGCCGCCGCATTCTTTGCCTCTGTGGCATTGACGCTCTGGCTCATGCGCGCCACGTACTCCTTGGTCTCGGCGAGCACCGAGGCCCTGGCGTCGTCGTGGGCGCCGTTGAAAAAGAGGGCGGCGAGGCGGTCAAGAGATGGCATGCGGCCTGCCATTTCGGAAAGCAGACCGCCGGCCTTGCGGAACGTCTGACAGTTGTCGTTGAGAAAGTTGAGCAGCGCCTCTTCGGAGCGTGCGCCCGTGTAGGGCTTCGGCGTGGAGCTGCCCTTGGGGAAGAACTGGGCAACCCAACAACGACGGGGGGTTAGCGGTCGCGCGCAAAGGGTGCGTGTGTGTGTGTGCGTGGGGCAAGAGTGAATGAAGCGCATCACTACCTACGCACGAGGATGGTGGGGTAGCTGGAAATGCCGTACTGCTGCCCATACGTCTTGTGCAGCGCATTGTCGGCGTCCAGTTGCGCCACGACGCACTGGGGCGAGGGAAGCGTAGCGTAGGGAGGGGCGCACGAGGACGGAAGATGGGGGGGCGGGGCGCAAGTTGCGGGAGTCAAGGCCGAGTCGTGCGGCGAGCCCGAGGAACGAAGTCGGCGCGTGAGAGAGCGAGAGAGCGAAGAGAGGAGGGGGGACAAAAGAGAAGGA